ACGAATACTCCTCCTAGTTTAAGATTATTTATTGTGTGTCAACTTTGTTAGAGGCCGGTCGCAGTCTGTAACTGCTTTTAGACTAGATGGAATGAGAAACTGGTGTGATGGGGGTTATAGTGCCGTGATACTTAGAGAGTGATCTGTACAGATATCCGAGTTTGACTTTAAAAATGTTTTTGTAATTTGTATGAATAAATGATTAATTATGTTGAGTTAAATTTTGTTTAGAGAAGTTAAAATATCTTAATGCTTTTCGGATAGTTATTTATGTCACGATATGTCACAGTGCAATGTTAGCTCTAAATATAACGTGAACATGATAATATACTCTCCAAAAACTTTCTATCTTCAATTAAGATTTTATTCTATGGTTTATTAATAGTATAAGGTTGAATTAATTGACAATTAAAGTATATATTAAAAAAATAATTATGATAAGATTTACAAAATCACTCTTTAATATAGGTTAATACAGCAATTATAGTAAAACATAAACTTTTAAACAAAACAAAATATTATTAACTATTATTAATTAATAATATTAACCTATTCATAATTATTATTTTTAATAATATAACACGAATAAACTTTATTTCTAAAATTCCACATACTTGGTCGAGTATTATTGTTTATTTGCTTAATAATATATTGCTGAATAATTAATCAATAATTGAAAGCTAGGCTCCAAAACGTATGTAACAATTAATGTTTTAACGTATACAATTCCATCACTGTATTGAAATAAAATTTCGATCGCCGGGAAAATTTCCCCTCTCATTCTCCTAAATACGCCTTCGATTGAGGTGAATAATTTAAGCGCTTCCAAAATGTCGTCCGAAAGTTCTCCGACTACTCTCAGAACTCATCCCTTGTCTATTATATAAAACGCTTAAATAGCCACCTTATCACTTTCATAAGAATACATACTATGTACTCCATATTTTATAATAATTTATATAATAATAATAATAATCTATAATAGTACATCATAACGCACAATATTCGTAAATCACACACGTTCCTCGGGTTCTTCGTTTCCGCCCAAACAAACTTTTGCGGTCTCTAAGTACGTATTGATAATACGAGTCATGCCCAAGTACGGAAAATGAGACCTAAGCTTGCATGCATTCATGATGTACACATATAGATGTATATTCATACGTGTACGATAACAATATGTAAATAGTGCACATCCGAGAGTGCATAATATTCTAATATTCGTACTGTTATCTCTTTCCCTTTTTCTATCCCTCCAGTACGACCATGCGCTGTCGAGGGATTTATTGAAACCCATAGAAAACAACGATCGTATGAAATAAAAATATGCATTTCAAATTCTCTATTATTGTGCAGTGTCGTAATAGGCGAGTCATTGGTAACTCACGGTACGATGTTCAGCTTTCTTACATACCTTAACAGTGATTCGCTTACGCTTTCTACCGAGAGGAATATGTGACCGATTTAATATACAATGTTGCTTATGTTAATAATGTTGTACACAAGACTAACTTGTCAATATATTATTGGTACCGCGGAGAAAAATCATTGATGAACGAAACCGTATATGTTTAGGTACTCTTTCTCTCCCTCTCTCTCTTTTTGGGTGGTTGGTCTCGTCTAGGATTTTCCCCACAAAAAAGTAAAATAAACTGATCGCGAGTGTTTATCGATCAAATCCGTTTGCAAGTAATAGTGCTGCGATACAACTATGGCGAAGTTAGTAGCATGATGATAAAAAAAACAAGCAGTGGTGTAGCAAGGGTATGGCTAATTGTGCCTACGCCAGGGGCGCGAAATTGTGTGGAATTCGTATTTTTATCCTACAATCAAATCGAAATTTTTCCATTATACTTATGAAATACCTAGATGTTGTCTACTTGCACACTATGTGTGAATTTAATGATGAAATTATGAAAATAGCACAAGGGAATTTTTATAAAAAGTTTCATATGAAGAAATGATCGATGAATTTGCTGTCATAAAGCGAGAAAAGCAAATTTTAGAAGTTTAAAATCAACACCGTATTAATAAATTATAAATATAAACTATTTACATAAAATAATTAGTTAAATTAAAGGTTAAAAAAAGTTTCATTACATCATTTATTGGTTAAAAATCGTTTTACTCTAAGTTTGTCAGGGGCACTAGCAAGCCTTCGTACGCCACTGAAAACAAGCTTAAGCCCCGGACTGCGACGCCCATGTACACCGCACATTTAATGGGACATTTACGCAAATCCATCCATGATAATTATAACAATAGAACGAAACGATAACGATGACGATGATGATGATAATAATGATGATGATGATGATGGTGTCGAACGGGACGGACGGAATATAAACGGGCGTGCTGACGCGACCGGATAATAACGTGACGTGGGTACCGCGAAAGTGCGTGCACCATGATGATAATAATGTGCGACGATTACGCGCTGTAGAAACGGTTGTTATACGCGTCGGTGCCGCAGGTGTCAAATCTGAACAAATATGTAAAATTACTTCCGCGTTCATTTTTTATGTACATATTTTATACCACCTACAGTGACATATTTTCGGGGGGGGGGGTCAGATCTCGAACACCCCTAAAAGAAGAAAAAAATGTTCAAAAGTTATAAATTACTTGATACAGAGAAAAATAACCTTAATTTATATCACCTGTTAGTTATCTACGTGATATTATTTGCAAAATTACGGCCATTTTGCTTCTATCCCTTTGTTGACCAGACTAAGAAATAAAATTATTTTTCCATTTTTTTTTGCATAAAAACGTGATAATTGGCTTATTGATAAATAAGTACATCTTTTAAAACATTCTTTTTAGCCCAAATTTGAATTAAGTACTTGGTACTTAGAAGTACTGTTGGTCAGTTTAATATTTTGATCCCGGTACTAAAATGTACCGTTGATCTTTTAGCATATTATTTTTTTACATACGATCCATACAAATCAAAGAACTGATTTTGGAAGATAATTCTTTAAAATTGTAATATTATGTTTGGGTTCTAAATAATACAAATTTATAAAAGTATGCATATGCATTTAATATAATAACAAATATTTAAAATATTAAATTAAATATTTCTATGCCAGTGTCAATATCTTATGGTAAATCTTCAAGTAACTATTGTTCCAATTCATGTGTATTATCCATTTTTATTTATTTTAAAGTGTTATATATTACAGCAAATGTAAGTATAAATATAAAATATTAATTTTCGCGCCAACGGGCCTTACTCAGGCGTACGTCGGACGCTGGATCCTCCGGACCGTCGTGAGAAGAATAATATTAATAATACTAAATATATTATATGGTCGATATGTACAAAATTATATTAACTAAGCAACAAGTATACAAATGATTGTTATGAGACCACATATACGAGCCAATATATTATTAGGGAGACGGGGAACACCGCTCTGAGGGCCGGAACTGGCGATGTTTGGCGATTGATGAGCACTGACCCTGCCGTGCGGAGCTGCTGGTGTAAGTTCGGAACTGGAACCACGTGGTTGCCCGTACGGCCGCAAACCGGGTGATGGCCGGAACTGGCGATTGTTGAGCTGCGTGAATATTGTTACGTATATGCTCGACCACAATGGTGTCGAGAATAACGGCCAGCTCTGGCAACTGGAAGAGCCAATCGAGCAATAGGAAAAAGTAAAGATGGCGATCACACACGAGCGAATGTGGTGATACAAAGCGTGTACACGGGAACAAAACAATAGCACGTCGAACGTCGTATGTGTAATGCTTCAAGAGAAGAAGCAAACCGCGATCAAACGACCGTTAGCGGCGGTGCACGCGTCGTCAACCGGACCAGGGCGACGGCGATGCAGTGTAGCCAACTTCGTTGGTGACGGAGCGCGGTCACTTTCTTACCCAGGTCCAAGACCAGGGGCAATTCAAAATACGCAAAATGATCGAAGATTGCAAGTTGCCGTTTACTTGCAACAGTACAGTTCGATTTCTTTAGAGCTGAAGGGTGGTCTATTCAGCCAGTGTACAGAGCAGTAAGAACGGAGTAATTGAGCAGATAGTCTTGTAAACTGAGTAGTTTGAGCAGATAACACTTTGTACGAAGTAATTTAGCAGAGCACTTGTCCGGAGCAGTCGTCACGGCAGATGAAAAGGAGCAGTTGGGCAGATGAGCAGAGCGGTGAACGGGGTTTTACAAAATGGGTGACATTGGTCGATGACCATTACAATATCAATGGAGCAATTAATATAAATACAACCTTAATAAAACATAACCAAATATATATGTTTGAGCATTAGCATGATAGGAACTATCGTTAATAATATCATATATTTTTTTTACATGGTAATACATAAATAATTATAATAAAGGAACAAAGTAAGATTATCACAAGATTTACAATCAGTCTCAATATTTATAAATAGAAAAACATATTTAAACATATTTAATAGTCACAATTAAAAATTGCTCACAGCTTGAGCTTGTAAAGACATTCTGAACATGTGTCATCCATCACACGCCAGTTCCAGAAGCAGAGCAGCTGACGAAAATAATGGCAGCAAGCAATATGGATAATAAAACTAACAACTAAGTAATGAACATATTATACATATATAAATAAAAAATGTGTACATGGGAAGGAGCACTCTATATATTTTGTAATATAATAACTAAGGGTCGGTGGGTAAGGGAACCAACTTGACTACAGGTCTGGTGAGCACCCCCTGTTGAGTCAGTACCTTTGATACTCGAACCACCGATCTGGTCCTGGACAAACCTCAATGATTCTACCCAACGGCCACGATAGCGGGGGGAGGGGTGTCGTTGACCTTGATAATAACCATGGTACCAACTTCGACATTGGTCTCAGATTTTGTCCATCTACCACGAGCTTGGAGGGTATTCAAGTATTTGCGGGACCAACGACGCCAGAAGTACTGAAAGGACTGCTGGAGAAGCTTCCAGCGAGTTTGCAATCCCATATGCGTAGCGGACTCAACAGGTTCGGGGATAGACATTATAGGTCGACCAACCAAAAAGTGGCTAGGTATTGGCATTCTAGATCATTCGGATCAGGCGAAGCAGGTACCAGCGGACGTGAATTCAAGGCCGCCTCGACCCTACACAAGACTGTTGTAAATTCTTCCAACGTCCAAACTTGAGAAGTCATGGCGCGTAAGAGCAGGGATTTTGCGGATTTAACGGCCGCTTCCCAGATTCCCCCAAAATGGGGAGCTGCCGGAGGATTAAAGTGCCAGTCACAAGCGATATGGCCAGCCAACTGACTCCTACTATCCAGATGATTGACCAAGTGTCTTAGCTGACGAGCCGCACCGACAAAATTGGTGCCACAATCTGAATAGATTGAAATCGGTACACCACGACGAGCTACGAACCTATCTAGTGTTAAGCGAAACGCATCAGTAGACAGTGCCGTCACTGACTCCAAATGCACAGCTTTAGTAGTCATACAGACAAATAAGGCAATATAAACTTTTACAATTCGGGACTTTCGCAAACTGAGCTCTTTCATTTCCAAAGGACCTGCGTAATCGATCCCCACCATCGAAAAGGGATGTGCTTCCCTTACCCGAAAGCTTGGCAGAGCTGCCATGATGGGTTGTGGGTTAGCAGCCGACATTTTTGCATTAGTCAGACATTTGCGAATCACCCAGTGAACTATAAGGCGGATTCCAATAATCCAAAATTGTTGTTGAAAAAGGGCGGTAAGCAATCGAGGTCGAGCATGAAATGCATAGAGGTGCCAATGACGAGTAATAAGAACAGCTAGGTGGGACTCTTTTGGGATCAACATAGGGTGCCTGCGCCGTTCTGACCAATTAGAGTTCTGCATACGACCACCTACACGAATTAAATCAAACGAGTCTAAGAACGGACAAAGACAAGCTAAAGACTTGGACGTGATCGTGGTCCCTTTATGCAAACTGGCGACCAAATCACTCAGGTAACGATGTTGAGCATCTTTAACTATAACATGCAGAGCTCCATCTAATTCCGACTGTCTAAGGTAGCCTAACTCCACAATTTTCTTTCGACACCTCTGGATGAACCAAAGGACCTGAGCAGTCATGCGAATCATCTGGATAAACGACGAAAATCGAATGGATCATTCACAAGATGGTTCTTCGCGCGTTTCCAAACACACTGGTTTTGTTTCTGGCAATTGTTCCAACTTTAAGCACGAGAAATCTTGAGTCCAAGTCTCAACCGGAGAATGCAAAAACCTAGGACCTTTCCAATAGAGTTTGCATTTTCGAAGTTCGGCAGGGGGAAGCCCATGTGAAGCGCAATCAGCTGGATTGATTTCAGAGCTGATATGTTGCCAACTGCAACCAGGTAACGGAGATTAAATTTGGAAGACTCTATTGGACACAAAAGTCTTATATGAAGTTTGCGGGTTGCTAAGCCATGATAACACAATGGACGAATCAGACCACGCAAAAACCTTGGATATCGCCAACTGGGATTCCAGAATACGCTTGAGCCTAGCTAACCACAATGCGAGGAGCACCGCACCACTCATTTCCAGACGTGGGATTGTCATGGCTTTCATTGGGGCCATTTGTCTTAGCGCCCAACAGGTAATTAGATACAGCTCCCGACGGATCCGTCACATGGAGATACACCACTGCAACATAGCCCTTATCCGAGGCATCACAAAAGCCACATAGATGGTAGATACAACCAGTAGAACTACCGAGATAACGCGGAACCCTGATTTCTTGCAATCAACTCAATGAATGATAGAATCCACACCAATCAGCTGCAATATCCTCAGGGATCGGACTGTCCTAGTCAACCTGTGCGAGCCACAGACGTTGCATGATCGTTTTCACATAAAAAGTTGTAGGTGAAAGCAGACTTAGCGGGTCGAAAATCCTCGCGATCATGGACAACACACCACGCTTAGTAAGAATCAACCTCAAATCATTGGTGTAACTGGAAAAGAAGTCCCCTCTCGGATTCCAACGCATTCCCAGCACTTGCACCGAATTTTCCTGATCAAATGTCAGAGGATCCCCTGTACAATCTTCTGGTTTCATCTCGTACAATAGCTCAGGAGAATAGCTGGCCCATTTCTTTAACTCCAGGCCAGACTGGCCTAGCAACCGGATCAGATTGGTTTGAAGGACTTGGGCGGTTTCCAACGATTCTGCACCAACGCAAATGTCGTCCATGTACGTTTGATTCCGTAGAACGCGTTGTACATCCGAAAGATCTTCACAATCTGTGTCGGCTATATATTGAAGAACACGCAGGGCTAAATAGGGAGCACCCCAATTAATCTGAATATAGGAAGACGCGAAAACGGATTAACAAATAACAATATTTCATCAATATATATATATACATTATTTTTGCTATGGTACATACACAACAGCCAACGACTAACATGAAAATATGAAATGGTCCGACGGTAATTTTGATCCATTGCATATTACTAGATTTTTTCCTTTTTTAATATATTGAGATTTATACAATAACGATATTTATAATCTAGACACAATTGCAAACAATTCTAGAGGATAAGAATGCTAAAAATAGCTTTTCTACGTGTTGAAAACCAGTCTGATGTTGGCATGTTTAATTCGAAGAATTTTCGTATACATCGTTCACTTTGACATATTAATACACAGTTATATTTCTCAATATGGACCATAGTTATATTTTTTTCTTGTGGCTAAAGAGGTACTTAAGAGTACCGACGAGTCACAGTAAAGATAAATTCATCGTATTATTTAATATACATTTATTTGTAATGTGGTACTCAAAAGTACCGTAGGTCGAAAAGGGGCTATAACTTTTAGTTGCATTATTCACCATTATTATTAGTTACATTATTCATTATTAGTTACATTATTTAGGTCGTTTATTTCATTATAGAACCAGTAGTTTCATAATTTGAATTATTGCAGTCTTGAACTGAGGCGTCGACATATGGTAATAATGCGCATTTCATGATATTTACTTAAAAATATCAACGATATTTTCTCTTCGAATAAAATGTTAAGAAAATAAAACCCAAAAGAACAAACGTGTGATTAAATAACTATAGTAATGGATAATTGTTTTATTAAATTATTGTATTCGTGTGATGTCTAAAAACATATACACGCATACATATGAATTGTAAATAAAAACGAAAATTTCTATACAATTTACGTCCTTAAAAATTATTTAAAATAAAATAATAAATAATAAATTAATTCTTCGTCGACGTAAGCATAAGCCTACGTCGACGAAGAATTAATTTTTTCCATCTTTCTCACCGTTTACAAATTATTTCATGCACATCGTGAATGTATATAAACATTAAGTGATCTTAATAGACATGAAAATAATGTATCAGATAGATATAAAATAGTGCACGTATACGATTTTATGGAAAAACTAATGTAATTCAATTCGGCTGCCAATATGCGATAGAAAAATGTATATGAACGACTTGTGCAAGTATAGAAATTGAAAAAAAATCGTAAAATTACAACAACGCATATTTAAATATCAATCTTGTCCACAATTTAGTAATTTATTACATAAATTATATACATTATATACATATATACGGATCCAAATCGACTTTTTTATATAATATATTATCTTTAAACTTCTTTAAACTATGTAGTTTTATAATAATTAGCAACTTTTATCGAGTACTATAGTCACGCATTGTAGCACGCTTCATCATTTGTATTAAAAAAAAAAAATAAATAAATAAAAAATAAAAATGATACATATGGTAAAATAAAATTAAAATAATGATAAAAGATAAATTATAATGAATCCCACTGGAATCACACAAGCCACGCAATGACGTAGAGACCTTACATCGGGGACACTTTTCATCATCGAAAGTACACTAAAAACTAGTATAGATATTTTTAAGCTACATATTTAATATGTGAAAATTAATTAGATGAAGTTAATATTTGTTTTTTACTTACATCTAAAATGGTTGACATTTTTTTAAAAGACAATATTATATTATATTCGTTTTGAAAAATAGAAATATTTTTTCTCAATAGCATTGAAGACAAATATTACGATGGTTCTTGATACATTTGAGAAAATCAAAGTACATTGAATTCGATTATTAAGTGTCAAATTATTTCTGATAAATCGATAAAAAAATATTAGTACATTTGTGTGTAGATATATGTGTATGTGTGTAGTTGTGTATGTATGTGTGAATGTGTATAAGTCAATATGTTAAAAAGGGCGAGGAATATTTTTCTCCTGAGTTTTATCCCGAGATTATGTCCCTGAATCATAGACACATAAATATATTTATTTTTTAATGCAGAATTTTGAAACCACCATTGTATTTTATACGCAGTGATCATATTGTTGTAAAAAAAAATATTCAATATCATAATATTGAAGTAATTTACTAGCGCTTCGTATTACGATGAAAAGTCCGTTAAATGTTTGTGCCAAAAAGATTATAGCCTTTAAAAAGAAATCTACTCGAGAAATGAGATTTAAATAGTGAATAAGCCAAAAGTAAAATACATGACTTTTCTAAGAATACACTTACAAGTACAGTCGTTTTATACGAACTAAATAAGTTCAGCATAAAGCCTTATTCGAAGCTGACATAGACTCGGCGGAAGTCATCAAGTTATTTAATCGTAACACTTTAATTGTTAATTAGTTGGGAAGTATGATATTATATAAAATATTATTAATTATACGATATTATAATGTGATATGAAAAAGCCGCAGCGAACATTATTTTTTCATCAAACCATAAACAATCTGGTAACGTCCTAACCTGTGTATTCATATGGTATAATATATTAAGTACGGTTGATGGATATTCTTAGTTTAAAAAACACAAAACACTTGAAACTTCTTTTAATTCGTTAAAAATAACTTTTAAACGTACATAAATAATCATAAAGTATGTATATATATAGGTACATAAATGGCTAGAAATTTATAACTCGTGTGTTTATAAATATTCATCTGTTTTAATTAGAAAGTGTACATCATTCTCTCCGGCCAAAGAGACTTTACCCATGGCGACGTGAGAACGAGTTTTCGAATAAGTCGAGTTATTTACTCGTCATCTAAGAACCAACCTGGAATAGCGGCAGCGTGATTAAGCTATTTATGATTCATGTTTCGTGAACAATTTTTTTCTTCCTATGATTTGTTTAAAAACTTAAATTGTTAGCATTGACGAATCGAAATTCGGATTATAGAGCATATTCTCCGTGTTGCACCCTTCTTCCCACTCACACAAAATTAAGTCCTCATCACGCTACTGCCCACAATATTATTCCGTATACATTCTGAATATTGTATGCATTAGTATTCAATTAACGGTTTAAATTAATATATTATGTAATATTTTCGTTATCGAAATGCATTAGTACTCGATACGTTGAGCTCATAGTCACATGCCTCATGACGTGTATTTAATATTATATTATTATTATTATTATTATTATTATTATTATTATTATAATTATTATTATATAGTATATAACGTACAGTGGATAAGAGGGTAGAGTACAGGACAAGGGAAAAGGTCCTTGCAAGTGTATACCCGTATATTCGTTGTGTATACAAGATCAGAGAGTGACACGAAAATTACCATTAGCCGTTTCTGTTTTCTTCCCATTTTCGTGTGTGCGTCGTTAAGTCAATAATGCGTTCTTCAACGTTTTATTATTATTATTATTTTTACTTTATCCTTCCTTTTAAAGATTATATGTACAAGATAAATTGTACGTACATTTGTCTGGAACCGGCTATATAGGTACGTGCACATATTATTTTAGAAGAGACTGAGAAAAAAAACTTCGTGTCATGCATGCATGCACGCATCAACATATGCCCATCCCTGGTTCTGAGTGCATTTTCTTATAATTATTTTTTTTCCCCAGTCATTTTTGTGTCTCTTTCCGTTTTTTTCTTTCTTCTTGTAATGCACTTTCCACTCAAGAACATAAAAGACAAAGACCATCGAAACCATCAATTATGTGGCAAACGCGACGTTTAATTACCATTATAATATGCGTGGTTTAATTACCAATGCGTAAACGTGTACGACAATTTTTTATTCCTCTG